GCACAGTGATAGGAAACCAGGAAAGCTGGGAGATGCTGAGTTAGAAACAGCTCTCTAAGGTGGCTTTTAATCTAGCCTGTCTGTCTTCCCCCAGTGAAATGGGAGAAATTTCCTGGAGTTTCTCTTTCCTGGTTCCTTTACGCAGCTGAATGCTTAGTGGTTCCCTGGCTCAGTAGCCTCGCTCCTGGGACTAGTGGATCCTGCGTGGTAAGGATCTAACCATCATCCCGGACAGACTTCCCTGACTAATCCTGGGAGCAGCTGCCCGGGATGTGCCAGGACTATTCTTTGAGCAAGATAACCTGGGTCAGCAGTGGGCTGAAAGTTGTCCTGTGTGTTCTTGTACCCTGGGAAGTTATATCTTGAGGCCAACAGAGAGCACTGAGATGTTCTACATTGGGAAAAGTTTTCTGCCAATGATGTGATCATTAAGGCATTCAGAAAAAGAGGAAAATTTTGGTTTTGAGCTGGAGTGTTTCATTGTCCTTACTTACCCCTCACCTTCCACATTTAATTTTTGGTTAAAATTGCATTTCAGATTTGCACATCACACCATCCAGGTTTACCAGAGCACCGTCCCCTTACTGGCTGGTTTCCCTGTGTCACCAGTCAAAATAGACCTCAGGATGAAGGGAGGAAGCAACCAAAAGGTAGCCTGGAGAGAGAGGATGAGGTTTGGCTCAAAGTAAGTGGCCCAAATGTTTGTGTGTGTGTGTGTGTGTGTGTGTGTGTGTGTGTGTGTGTGTGTGACAGCTATGGCTAGATTGTGCACATGTGTGGGTACATGTGTGTGCATAAATGATGCGTTGGAATGGCTTCTCAAGAAATTCCCTTTTGTCATCTCAGTTTTTATATTTTGAATTTATTTTCAGCTCTTTTTGAACGTTGGACTTTTCTTTATAAGCAATCACTTTATCGAAGTATAATATACACACAAAAAAGTGTAAAAATCAGAAATGCATACATCAAAACTGTTTACAAAGTAAACATCCTCTCTACCCAACACACAGATCAAGAAACAAAACATTAACATCATCCCCAAGAGGCGCTCTCACTCCCCCTCTCCTTTATTGTCCTGCAGAGGTATCTACTGTGTTTACTTCTATCCCCGTAGATTACTTTGACCTATTTGAATTTTATGTGAAAACCTTTGCGGTATGTACTCCTTTTGCCTTTCTTATTCAGCATTCTGTCTGTGGGATTCATCCATGCTGCTTTCGCTTTTCTTAGCAGGAGCATTCATCTTCATCCTGTGTAGAATTCCACTGCATGGACATACCATAATTTATTTATCCATATTGACGAACGTTTGGGTTATCTCTCGTTTTTTCTCTATTGTGTATATTACAAATAGTTCTGCTATCAACATTTCCATACAGTTCTTTTGTAGATGCATATAAACAGTTGGGTGTATTCAGAACTGCCAGTTGGGCAGATGACCACCTGTGTAGATAATCCCAAATGATCTTCCACTTGCTTGTACTAACTGATACTCCCACCAGAAGCTCATGGGTATTCCAGTTGCTTTACATGTTCACCAATATTTGATATTTTAAGTCTTAATTTTAGTCACTGTTGAAGATGTAAAAGCATCCTCCTGTGGTTTCAGCTTGCATTTACATGTTGGCTAATGAGATTGGGAGACTTTCATATGTCAATTGGCCATTTGTAGATCTGTTTTCCTTTTTTACTGAAGGGCGCATTCAAGTCTTCTGCCCAAATTTCTACTGGATTGTCTGTCATTTTCTTCTTAATTTGTATGGTTTCTTCACAACTTTCTGAATGTAAATGCTTTTCCAGTTGTGTGTTTTTTACTATTTCCCAACACTCTGTAGCTTACTTTTTTTTCCCACTCTTAATGGTATCCTCATATGGATAGAGTTCTAAATTTTACTAAAATCCAATTTATCCTTCTTTTTATGGTTAGTGCTTTTCGTGTAGTGTATTAAGAAATCTTTGCCTACCACAAAGATATACTTTCCTGTTTTATCTTTTAGAAATGTTACTGTTTTACCTTTTGCATGTAAGCATACAATCCATCGGAATTTTAACGTATTGTATAAGGTAGGGATCAAGGTAGGATTTTTCCCCCTAAATCTAGAACCATCATTACTCAAACTAAAATGTTCTTTCTCCCATTGTGCTGCACTGCCAACTTTGTCATAACTCCACTGGCCATATGTGTGTGGAGGTCTGTGTATTGATTCTATATTTTGTTCTTCTGATCTGAATGTCCTTCATCAATATCATACTCTTAATTACTATACATTTTTGATGAGTCTTAAAGTCATATCATGTAAGTCCTGAAACTTTGCTCCTTTTTCCCCCGGATTGTATTGGCGATTCTTGGTCCTTTGAATTTCCATATAAATTTTGAAATCAGCTTCAATTTTCACACATGGAAAAAAAAAAACCTGATTCAACTTTGACTGGGATTTTATTGAATCTCTAAGTCAATTTGGGGAGAGTTTTCTTTTTAAAATACTGAGTCCTCTATCTTCTAACATATTCTTTGAGATATTTAAATCTTCTTTAATTTCTCTTAATGTTTTATAGTTTTCTGAGAAAAAGGGGATTGAATTTTAGCAAATGCTTTTTCTTCATTCATTGAGACAGTAGTGTTATTTCCCCCTTTGTTCTGCCACTGTCTTGATTTATTTTGATAAATGTTTAAATGTTAAATCAACGCTAGATCCTAAGGAAAAAATAACAACTTGGAGGAAATGTATAATACTTTGTCACTACTTTTGGATCCTACTTTTGAATATTTCAGGTGTTTTTTTTTAATCTATATTTATTATACCTTAGTTTCTACATTAAAAAAAATTTACTATTTTGTCAGGTTTTATGATGAAGGCTAACTTTGACTCCTAAAAGTAAGTTTCCTTTTCCCCAGTTATCTGGAATATTTTGTGTAAGGTTTGTGTTAATTTTGGAGGTATTCATCAATGAAGCTATCTGAGTCTGGTGTTTTCTTTGAGGAAAATATTTAAATATATGTTAAAATTTTTAAATGAATGTTGAAGAATTTGGGTTTCCTATCTCTTCTAAGAACTATTTTGGTTAAGTTCAGTTTTTCTTCAAGTAATTTGTCCATTTTTTCCTAAAATTCTGAATTAATTGGCATTAAGTTTTTCATAATGTTCTCCTATTTCATTTGTAATATTTTCACAATCTCCAGGACATTTTTTTCACTTATGCTATTGTTAATTTTTGGCTTCTCTGTTTTATTTTTTTGTTCAGTCTTGCTAAAGATTTATCAACTTTATTAATCTATTATTAATGTTTTATAGAACCAACCAAAAAAGATATATATGTGTATATGTATATTCTTATACATATATACATAAACATAAAAAGAAGGAAATAATGAAAATAGCATAATGTGTGCTCTTATTTTCATTATTTTCTTCCTTTTATGTTTACATTAAATTTGCTCTTCTTTTTCTAATAACTTGAGATGATGCTTGGATAATTAATTTTTAGCTTCTTTCTTTTTTATATATATGTTAAGGACTGTCAATTTCCTTCTAAGTATGACTTTAGCAACACACTACAAATTTCACATGTCTCATTTCTGTTAATCAAACATATTTTCTAATTTCT